TTCACTCTCTTCCTCCATCTTTTCATTCCTTTCTTCCCTCTCTCTCCCTCCCTCTTTCCTTCCTCCCTTTCCTTCCTTTCTTCACTCTCTTCCTCCATCTTTTCATTCCTTTCTTCCCTCTCTCTCCCTCCCTCTTTCCTTCCTCCCTTTCCTTCCTTTCTTCACTCTCTTCCTCCATCTTTTCATTCCTTTCTTCCCTCTCTCTCCCTCCCTCTTTCCTTCCTCCCTCTCTTTCCTTCCTTTCTTCAATCTCTCCCTTTCCTTCACCTTTTCCTCCATCTTTTCATTCCTTTCTTCCCTCTCTCTCCCTCCCTCTTTCCTTCCTCCCTCTCTTTCCTTCCTTTCTTCAATCTCTCCCTTTCCTTCATCTTTTCCTCCATCTTTTCATTCCTTTCTTCCCTCTCTCCCTCTTTCCTTCCTCCCTCTCTTTCCTTCCTTTCTTCAATCTCTCCCTCCCTTTCCTTCATCTTTTCCTCCATCTTTTCATTCCTTTCTTCCCTCTCTCCCTCTTTCCTTCCTCCCTCTCTTTCCTTCCTTTCTTCAATCTCTCCCTCCCTTTCCTTCATCTTTTCCTCCATCTTTTCATTCCTTTCTTCCCCCTCTCTCCCTCCCTCTTTCCTTCCTCTCTTTCCTTCCTTTCTTCACTCTCTTCCTCCCTTTCCTTCCTTTCTTTCTCCCCCTTTCTTTCTTCCCTCTCTCCCTCCCTCCCTTTTCCTTCCTTCGCTCCCTCTCTTTTCTTCCTGTCTTTTCTCACTCTCTCTTTTCCTTCCTTCCCCCTCTATCTCTCATCCTCTTTTTCCTTCCTTTCTTCCTCCCATCCCTCTCACTGCTTCCTTCCTTCCTTCCCTCCCTCCCCTCCTTTGGGGATGCTGTGATGGGTATAAGCACAAGGACCTAAGTAACTTTTATCAGGGCTGTCGTAATTTCGGTCACTAAATGAACTGTTGTAAGTCGAGGACTGCCTTCCCTCATCTTTTCCCCTAGTTTTTGACCTGCCCCCTCCTGCCCAGAATGGCCTTTGATGAGGTCTGCCAGCACTGAGACCCTGAGACCCTCAGGCAACCGGCCCACCTTCCCCAAACGGCTCACATGGAGGGAGCGCCTCGGCCGAGCTCAGCCTGCTCCCCTCAACCCCTAACCCGCTGGCCCTCGGGGTCTGTCTTTGCCTTCCAGCCCCACCACTCGCAAGGAAGGCCTCAGCAGCCCCATTTCCGGAAAAGACCTGGAAACCCTTTCGGGATCTCGCAGCCAAGTGGCGGCTTCCGGCAAGGACCTGGATGGGAAAGAAGGCCTGTTCCGTGACCAGGAGGCCTCCAGCCTTGACACGCATCGCTCCGACTCGGCCCCCAGGGACGACAGCAGCCTGAGACCCAGGTAGGCTCTCCCGGTGGTCTCCTGTCCTCGGCTTCCTCGGCTTCCGTTCTTTGTAACCCATCTCTAGTCTGGGATTTAGAAGGTTTATTTATATGCCGCCCTTTTCCCTGGGGGGACTCAGGGCGGCTCACAATCCAAAAGGAAAGGGGGGGGGGGAGTCCCGGTCCCTCCCTGCAGGAAATTTGAAATTGAAATTTAATGAATTTGTATGCCGCCCAATCCCGTAGGACTCTTACAGAGACAAGATAAAAAAGTTAAAAATTAAGAATGAAAAATACAGCTTTTAAAAATAACACACCATCCATTCTGTCTAGGTGGGGCTGGACATTGATCAACAGCCCCAGGCCTGCCGGAACAGCCAAGTTTTGGTGGCTTTTCGGAAGGCCGAGAGAGTAGGGAGGGTCCGGATCTCTGCAGGTAGATCGTTCCACAGGGCCAGAGCAGCAACAGAGAAGGCCCTCCCCCGAGGGGCCGCCAGCCGGCATTGTCCGGTCGACGGCACCCGGAGGAGGCCCAGCCTGTGAGTTCTTATGGGCTATTGGGAGGTATGT